GTGTGCCTGCTTGAGCAGGAAGGTTGGACTAGATGATCTCTAGAGGTCCCTTCCAACCTTAAATATTCTGTGAATTCTGTGAATATGACAGCTACTGTATATATCATGAAATACATCTTGCAGTACTTGAATTCACATTATCTTCAAGAACGAAAATGTTTCCTGAATGATGTAGTCACTGCTAATAACCTTTGAACATCACTGCATAACAACATTTTAAGATTTGCAATGCATTTACAATATTACTCCTTTTAGTTTATCTGTCCACTTATCTATCTATCTATCTATAAAATGCATATATATATGCATTAAGTTATTAAGTTATTACAGAGATTCTCTTCACCATATGTACGAAAGTTTACCTCTAAAAAGATACCTGTAGGGCAGCAGGTACAAATCCTCAGAGATGTATCATCATCTCCCACACCACATCCGTAATATTTGCACTCAGTTTTCATGAAAATAGAACTGCAGTGGGTTCTAATGGATAACTACAGGAACTAACATTAAAAGAAGTTGCACAACTGGGCCATAAAGGAGATGACCTTTAGCAATACATTTGACAKTTAAACTGAATGTGAGATTGCTGAATATTTAGCAACAGCCTTCTACCAATGCTTCTCTGGAGAAATCACTGGTAGTTTGCCTGTCATTAGAGGTTATTGCTAACAGAAACTGCTAATTAAAATCTGTAATTTTATATTTAATGGGCTTGTTGCAATGTKACTTCATGGAAAGATTGCTGTATCTCATGCCAGGAAGCTTAGTAAGAACTAAGAAGTCATATAAATCAAATATGTTTCTTTACATATTGCTATATGGCACACCATGCTTTAAAAAAGTAAACTATTTTCTTACAGAATAAAGAAGCAAGTCAGCATAGAACAAAATATCAAATTTTACATTTACATTCACTTATTAATTATCTTTGATTTTGCATACAAATTAACATGTGCATTGTCACTGGTTATATGTTAGACAGTGCCTAGTAGCAAAGAGAGGTCAGTACAATGGAGGACTACCATTCGACCCTAACACAACAAAAATACTATTTCTCCAAAATACTATGCATGTATAGCATTAAAAATCCTTGTTTACAATTCTGCATAATGCACCTAAATCCTTATACCACCAATGACTTTTTAAATTATGATATACTCAGATTTGCAAGGTCCTGCAACCTAAATTGGACACTGAAGATAGAGATAGCAGATTCCAATTTACTACCATCTAGTGATACTTAGTTTTGAAGTAAATGAGCTTATATTTTATGGGACTTGCTAAACGTTTATTTCTTCTGTATGATATCAGGTTGCCACTTGCCCTCCTATACCACAGACTTGTGTGGTTAAAAAGAAGATAGAAAAATACACCTTGCAATACTGTATTCAAGTTGGGTATGCCTTTCACTGTCACTTAATTTCTTTTTGCTGCCATTTACCACATTTTTTTTTATACACAAAGGAATACCAGCTAGTTACTTAAAAATTAATCAATCACAATTTGGTACAAATTTCAGAGGATGGACCTAAGAGAAAGTGCAAAATAAAAAATACTGCCACAAAAGATAAATCAGTTACCTGTAATCCGTGCCATTGACAGCAGTCCACGTATATGTTCTATTTCCCTTATCAATGTATCTCTACAAAGCAACATTGATGAACAAAGAAATTAACCCTTAAGGTTCCACAATCACTTCATTTTCTTGAGAAACAGAATGTAAAATCCTGTACAAACCTGTCAGGATTTCTTTAATTAATTTGGATTTACTTATTTCTACTATTTCATTGAAAGCATGAGTTGAGCTGCAACTGAAATTGTTTTGGTAATWGTTTTTCTTAAACAATTACCTAAATCATATAATGCAAAACAATCTTGCAACAAAATGCAAAACAACTTGCATCAAAATACTGAACATTAAATAAAAATACAAATTTAAATAAATCAGGCATAAATATGACTTAATATATTCCATTTTACACTTCTTAGCTCAGTTTATACAACTTTTTTCCTCTTTGCTTTAAATGAGCTAAAAGATGTGATTGTCTTTATGGATTGTTTTAAACTCATTGGGAGGTTCTTCTATTTGGATAAAATTTATCATGGAAAAAAATGAAAAGACAGACACAGTCCCACAGCTCCCCACTTATTTAATCATTATTAATGCACCTGGCTGAAATAGTTTCATTTAATTTTCTAAATAGAAAAATTACTAGTTTATGCTAGCTGAAGACTTTGAATACTTTGCTGATATAAATATACTGATATATATACTGATATATATATATATATGCTGATATAAATTCAGTGCAGCAGTTGCACTTCAATACTACAAATAAGAGTGAAATGTATACACAGATATATGTCGATGGTCTTTCTTTTTCTGGGCTAAAATRAAAACATAGGAATGACCATAATTATGAAGATTTTTTTGTAGGATCTTTATGTTTTGCTACTCTCTCAGTCTCCGGCTTCTGCTCTTTCCAGCACAGCAAAATGGGTGTAAATAATTTGAAAGTCATTTTGGAAAAGAATAAAAAGTAAAGAATGCTTATATTAGTGGTTAATGTTCTGATACATGTAGTATTTAAGGTAAAAGGAGAGCTGAATAGATTGCCTCCTAAGTCTATTTATATTTAATAACACAACTGTGACCTTATGATCACATTTTCTCAAAGACAGCTCAGCATATCACAGACCCTGCTGCRTCTGCTCCCTTTTACCTGCGCCTGTGTTGTTACCGGGCTGTCTCACCATCAGATGGCCACTGCTGCAGAGCTCTGCATACATTACTGCTGTTTTGGGGACCTGTCTCCACTGCTCGCCCCAGCTGCYTGGTTGCAGCAACGCTGCTCTGGCATCTCCTCTGAGAGCTGAGAAGYCTCCCAGGCTTTGGGAGATCCCAGCACATCCCAGCCACATCTGCTATGAGCTCCATCTCATTAATTTCAAGCCCCAAGACTGCAACTGTCACCTCAGAACAACTAACCATATCAGTCCTTTTCATAAGCAAATACATGAAGTAATCACGCCTTTAGGATAGCAGTTACTAAATCTCAGGCCCAGGAGCACTATAGTGTCTCTGTAGACAGGACACGATGGGGTTGGAAGCCATCACCACCACCAGCAGCCCATGGCTACTACCTCCTTCCCTCATGGGGCTCAGAGCAGAGGAAGAAATCCAGGGTCACAGTATGAGGCAAGATGAGGGTTAAGTTCCCTTCCACCTGACCACCAGGGCAGCTAATGCTACACAGGAAGAATTAGTTGCATGTGCTCTAATTACTCTGCTTGGTACTGCTACGGGGTCCACATATACGTAAAGGTTGTATACTGTTTGTTATATGTTTATATTTTAGGTACTCTTCATGTTTCTTCTGACAAAATGATAAACTAGTCCTCTTCAAGCTAGTCCACTTTCAAAACATAACAACCTCAGAATTGTAGAACTGTTGTGGAACTGTACCAGTGGAGTATACTCTGGCCATAATTTCTCCTTATCATATTTGTTCTTGGGAACCTTGGTAAGAGCATACATGCATGGGTCCATAAAAAATACAAGCACTTCATACTGCTAAGAAGCAACTCCTCCTTGCTAGAGCAAACCAGAAGCAATCTTAATTTAAATCAAGATTTTGGAAAAACAAATCAAAAGAACCAAACAAGTTATTTAGAAAACACAAGTACATAATGTAACTTTAAGATTAATTAGCTTATCCCAAATGGTCTTCACTCAAGCATTACAAATGTTGCAACTATTTTTTTCCCCATTAATTCGTCCCCATCCAAGCAAAACAGAAACTAACAGTCCTATCCTCATCTACCTCCCTAAGCACATTTAGTATTTTCTTTTAGGATTCATAGGAAAAAGTCAGATGGGTTTGCTTGGGGAACAGAACGCAAGACCTCATCAACAGCTGCCCAATTAACGATGAACCAAAGAAAGTGAGAATAAAACATTGTATTTCTGAATAAACACRTAATTATGTTTACTGTAATCAAGTACAAAGAAGAAATCGGGGAGGAGGGGAGGAAAATATAAAATGACATTACAAAATGAATATTTTTTCACAGTTTCCCATTATTACTACTTTTTTCCTACAAACATAATAGCCTGTATTTCTTACCTCATCTTGGGACTTGACCAATGTTTCAAACGTTTTTTCTCCACTTTCTCCATCTATCATTTTTTTCCGAATCTATAGGCAAGAACAACAGGAACAAASCCAAGCAAAAAGATTAGAATTACGTGTTCTATTTATTATAATTTTCAATGATTCTAGGTATAGAAATTCAAAAACAGTAAAGCATTTGAAAGTCATAGCTTTTTACAAAAAAACTTATTTTCTGAATGTTCTAATTAGAAAAATAGAACTGGTTTAATACAAATACTTACTGAATTATTTAGACTTATAAATATCCATTCACTTTGCATAAGAAGATCATCATATAAATATATCCTTGGTATTTGGTATTAGAGTGAATAATTGATAATTTGGTATTAGAGCGAATAATTTGTATAATAATAATAATTTGGTATTAGAGTGAATAATTTGTTGGGTGAGGAATGAGTTTTGTCTAGCATTTCCAATGCTTTCCTGCACTTCTGTGTCATTTTGCCTTATTGTGTTTTAACTGGGAAAGATACATCAGATATCACACTGCTGTCAATCATAACCTGGCTCTTAGTTTTAACTTTATTGTTTGATTGTTTTTTTCCCATCACAGTAATAACACAGCACATTGCATTATCAAAAACTAGGAACAAGAAATAGGAACAATATTTTTAGGTATTTCAGGTAATATATCCCATTTAAAAGTAGACTGCTTTTAAAATATTATAAAACAAAAAGGAATCCTCATCTTGCAATAAAAATTGGTATTTATTATTTAAATAACAGCTACAGTATCTTTCAAAATGAGAGAATTTAAATCCTTGTCTTTGTCTAAGAAGAATATAGGAGTTCAARTTAATTTCTAGAAAACTGTCATTATAACTTTATCTCTCTAAATTCATAATCTTCAACACTTTCAAATTAAAATTTATAAGGCAGATCCCATTGATAATCTAGAATACTTGTCACTTTTCAGAGATTGTGCAGGGAAACAATCCATCAGTAAGAGATATAGAGTAACCAGCTCTTCTCACCTCAACTTTAATATCATTCTCCAGCTCCGCATCTAGAAAATCCAGTGTCACAGGCTCCTGGGATTTAGGGTTCTGAAGCAAAAGATAAGAAACAATCAAGTAACAAAGATGGTGCATGGTAACATTAYGGACAGGGTGCTGGAAGTCACTCTAATCCCCTCATTTCAATGTAAGCTATTTAAGTAGACTTACTTACCCTTCCACCTTCAATCCCTGACAGCATAAGGAATTACTAGTGGCCCCTTCTCATTTATTTCATGTTGTTGAATGGAGAGGGTAAMGGGAAGCAAGAATGAGATTAATGCCCAGGGCTCATATCTGACCACCGTCCATAGCACCACCATGGTGGTGCTAGGCCAAGAAGTGGCTGGTTTGTTACAACTTGTAGGGTGGGAGAAGAAGGGTGCGGATGCACTAGACACCTGCCCCTTGTCCTGCCCCTTGGGCAACTTGTCCTGCCCCTTGGGCAAGAGAGGGAAAGGTTGACCAGGAAAATCAGACAACTGCGCTATAGCCTATTCTTTTGCAGACTGCACTCAGTCCACTCAGGCTTACAGGATGCCTGGCTGGACTAAGGCTCAACAAGAGTTGACAGTCAGCTCTGCAGGACTGTCTCAAGCACCTGTGAGGTATGAATGTGTTGCTCACTCAGTCGAGCACCACTGAGAAGTGATCTCAGACGCTAGACTAGCAGAGAAGCAAAGCCCAGGTTTATTGCTCTATTCTGGTTGAAAATAATTTGCATTGTATAGTAGGACAGGATCTCAAGGCCTAGCTTTTTCAGAAACTGACCTGGTTTTGGCATGAGTACCAACACAAACACTGTTACTGGCTGACACTATCCTTTCAAGACTAACGAAATTTGTGATAATGGCTTCTTTATGGGCTTTCAGGGACACAGCTATGGTAACATATTTAATGAGTAATTTAAGTTTCCTCTTTTAAACATRTGACTTTTATTTTTTCTAATAGGGTGGAGTCATTAGGGTTTACAATATACTGGCAATCATTGCATGATAAACATACAGATGACCATTCTATCGAACAGTGCAAGCAGGACTCTCCTTGAATTTTACCTTTATTTTCTGTTTTTGTTTTCTGTTTCTACTGAAAGAAAATCATGTCCTAAATAGCTGGGGAAAGATGCGTTAAGGTAACAGTCTGGAGTATTAAAAGCTTAAATATACTGCATATAAAAGGTAAGTGCTGGACTTTAATATAAGATAGTATAAAAAAGATACAAGATTGTTCCTTTATATTTTGAGGAACAAAAGTACATGCTACTGGATATATGGATTTTTTTTTTTTTTCATTTTCTTAGCAGGTAACAGTTATTGTCTGCCATAAGACAGAAAAGTATTCTCAGAAAGACAATATGCACCAGAAATACTTAAGACAAAAATTCTGTTTTTTTCCCTACGCCTCTACTGACAACTGCAAAGCTTGTGAACATGAATGTGTATGTTCTCATTTATATAGGATAAACAAAACCAGTAACTTCAATATTATATATATATATATWGACTCTAAGACCCATACTTTAAAAATACAATGTAATTTATTTTCTTATTCAGTGCTTTTTTTCTCCCCCAACAAAACCACCCTCTTAAAATAAATAGCAAAAAGGCTAAAATGTAAAAACAAATGAAGAAAATACATTTTCTTACATGCAATGGATAATGAATAGCATGGTCAAACCCAAACAGCATGCATGAAGGCATTGTCATGGAAGAAGTGGCATTTATGAAGATCACATTCCATTCCAAAACACAAAGAAACAGAGAAGAAAAGAAATGGTAATAAAAAGGAAAAAAAAAAGCCATCACATTAAATCAAGGTCAATTATTCTTTTCAAATGATAACCTGGGTTAGCCATAGTTAAGGAGTCCCAAAGAGAAAACAGTCAACTTTAACTGTCAAAATTCAAGTACTCATTAACCAATTCTTCTAGAGTTACTCTAGAGCTACTTCCCATCCCCACACTTTATAAGGTACTTATTAATTTTTTTTAATAGATGAGAAGACTAAACATAAACAGATGATGTGATGTGCCCAAGCCATAACATAATCTGTTAGAGTTTAGAATAGAAAATGTAGTTTCTAGAMGTTTACTTCAAAGGGAATACTATTTTTCCCCCACAGTTTTTTTCTCCTGCGAACAAGGATTTGCCAATATTTGGGCTCCATATTTTTCTCTTCCTAGGTTGCCATTTTGAGGGATTTATTCCAAGCCACGAAGAAACAAACTTGCTGCTCAGTTTGCTCTTCTCCTTATTCTGTCATGCACACAACATGACTAAATCAAGCACACCACTACTACATTGACCAGCACAACTCAATAAAAAACGGGGGTAAATCACTAGCAAATGAAGCATGCAAATAAAGGCAGCGCGATCCATTTCTAGCATGACAAGGAAAGGCAAAGATCTATTACTTCAATGACAAATCAGGAAGGAAACAAAGAAAGAAAGAACTGGTGCAGCAACATAAAAATAAGTTCATTGAAACGCCATGGTTGGGTGCTTTTGAGAGGTCAGTATTCTCACAAATGTTAGAGAAGGCATCTGAGGTGCAGTAGCTTAGCTCTTATCCATACCTGCCATGGTAATGACGATATGGGCCATTAGACTTTCTTAATACATGTTTTTAATGCCACAGCAAACGGCAAAAATCTGGGTGCTGGAAGGAGGCTGGAGAAATGTGTATATTTTCCTATATTGCTGCCCATATTGTTCTGGCTTCTCCTGGTGTGTGAAATATGAATTTAGTGCAAAGAGGGTCTGCTAGGTGCAGTGTGGACACAGTCGTTTGGCTCAGCAAAGCCCTTGATGTGCATGAGAGTAGGACTTCACACCACGTTTCAATGCAAGCCCTTGGCTTCTGCACTTGRACACCCTGCAGTCTATTCCCATATGTGCGAGACATTAACATGTGGTACTGTATTTAATTTTGTTGTTTTGTTATTTACATAGCTAATCTATTCCTTTAATGATTTTTTTCCTGTTTTCATTAAGTGTTTTCTGCCCAGGGACTGCATTACATAAATGTTATTAATTGACTTTTCCTGGCTGGGGTTGACAGCATTTAATCCTCAATGGAGTTGGGCTTGCTAATCAGAGAAACCTGTTGCAAACAACAGATGAAATGCATGCTCCAACTTCCACAGAAAAAAGTGAACAGCAGATTCAAATTCTGTAGCCTTATACAGCATACATTGCACAGTAACACTTGGTAACAAATGACCTCCTGGACTTGGAGTTTATACAAGCAAAGCTGGCACAAGCAGTCTCTCTCTTTTTTTTTTCTAGTCTTTAAAGTCTTTTCAAAATCTGAAAAGTAATTTTTACAGCATAGCATTAATTAGCACCTATTAGTAAAGCACCATAATTTAACAAAACGCCTTTTRCTACCGCCAGTAATATGTTTTCTATTATTTCAACAAGGAAGGATGCAAGCTTCATGCTTTGGAAGCTGTTTGGCAGAGTAAACAGTTCCCTAGTTAGATTTTTCCTAGTAAAGCAGGGCAGCAGCTTTCTAAACGTATTTCCAGTCTATGCACTCTAATGCACTAGTCACCTCCATCCGAAAAGTTACCTGTACATTGGGTCTCCTTTTTCTCAAATTAACTTTTGGTATGCCCACACCAATATGCTAAAGTAACAAAAAAAGCAGTAATTTATATTTTTACACTATTAGTAAACAGACCACTTCTTAGAGAACTAAAGTCTTCTCTCAGCACCTAGGAAGTCCAGCATGCACTTTCCTGGAAGTCCATTTTAACCAAGAGTTTGAGCTCTTTGCCAGAATTACAGGTTATGTTGAGGCAACAGAAAATAGGCATATGCAAAACAAGCTGCATCAAATTAAAAGAGCCCTTCATCTCACGGGTTTTGCCAGAATTAGAATAAAATAAAAAGATGAGTGTCACTTTTGGTTGACTGTTAATTTGCTCTTAAAACTAACTCTACCCTTAGTTTTCTTCTAAAAACATAAGCTGTAAGACAAAATACTGAACCCTCCTGAAGGCATCTGGATTTTTAAAGTTAACAATAAAAGGATGTGGATTAGAACTATAATGGAAAAGGAGAAAAGGATTTCAAACTTTAGAATAGATCCAGAAATTCAACTATTAGTTATTTTAAAATCCAGTCCAGAACTAATCTTGTAAACACATCCTCAGTGCAAACTAGCTCCACTTATTTCATTGACTACATTTATCTGGTGGAATATTCATCYGCTGCTTTCTCAGGACAATGGAGAAACATATGTTTACACACAAACACACACACACACACAAAAAAAATGACAGAAAAATGCAGAATTAAATATTTCTTTTAGAAGGAAATCTATTACTACAATCACTTTGAAAAAAAAATGCTTAAGTAGTTTAAGACTAAATTCAACTGAAATTTTCAAAAAGTCTTCTATTGTGCTTTCAAGTAGTTTTCATGTACAAATAAAAACATGTTAGGAAAATTCTTAATACTTTTAATCCACTTTTGAACTTGTCTTTTGTTAAATTTCATTGGTTGTGTAACCAATTTAACAAGTTTAGAGCTTCAAGGGACTTTTTTTGTGAGATGATACTGCAATAAAATTTCTCAAAAGTGTTGTGTTGTACCAGTTTTCATTTCAGGTGACAGACTTTAAGGAGGAAAGCAGAAGGCATTTAGAAGAAGGAACTATTGGCAGTTTGATACACCCTCACCTCTTCAAAGGTAAAGACGTAGTTATGTTTTAGTCTACATCTATTGAAAAATTGCTGGCAAAGAGGGTTAAGATGTTGTTAGTTAATGTGTTAACAGCTACAAGGAGATTCAACTACAATTAATATGACATGTTAAAGAAGGTCCATGAGGTCTAAATACATCTGTCTTTGTAGTGTACCTTAGTTTTAAAACGTAGTTCTTGTATCAGTCTGAATAGCATGCACCACCCCATACAAACTGGGAGTGAAAAAGTCTAGTCTGTGTAACTGTTAATAACAACAATAACAATAATAATAATGCATATGCTTAATATCACATTTAGACATTATTTTAAAACATAAAACATAAAATATCACTTATAAAATATCCATTACTACGCATATTCCAAATTGTACACAAGAGAAGCATCTGAAAGAATCTCTGGACTTCTGAGTCCCTTTCAATAAATAAGTAATTCAGCTCCTCACATGACCGTCTRAAATAAGGCATGCCTAAAATAAGGCACATTGCTGCGATTTCCATTGCTTCTAATTAAGAAAGGGCTCTTATCCTTGTTGTTTAGGAAAAGGTAGACAAAACACTCGCCATCCTCTGAGTTTCTAATAAACTCTAACAAAGATATGGTTCAGTCACTAATAAAGCAATTATTTGCTTGAGGATAATTCAGGAAACTAAATCACCATACCAAAACTTCACTTTTCTTGGCATATTATCAAGACTTTATGCATACTGGCAAAACCCAAAGCACCTGTAAATTATAAAAGCTTTACAAAACCTTTATAAATACATATAAAATATATGTATATAGTTATGGAACCTATATTAAGTCCTTATTTTCCTTTATTCTTCTTTTTAAAATGATACTTTCAAAATCAGACAAAGCAGAAATATTATCAGTTAAGAGTGAATAAGTCTTTCTCTTCTTCAAAAGGACCTTCCTTCAACCCCCTTCTCGTGCTTTGTTACACACTTGGTCAACAATTTCAAATGTGCTCATAACTTCAGCAGAAAATTAATTCATAGGACATATTCATAAATCTGCCTGCCTCTAGCGTGAGAATTAAATCCATCACTGTAGCATGTAGATGACTTCATCATTGCTTTCTCTGCCTGTCTATGACAGTCAAGCATGATTAAGTACTGAAAAAATCCTTCTGGTATTCCTCTTGTAGCTATGGTAGGGCTTTCTGATAAAGAAACATGAGAGGACTGTTGCACAGCCAAGAGGTCAACGATTTGTGGCCAGAAACTTCATTTCTTATGGAACGTTGCATTCATATATCATGCACCCCCCTGAGAGACATTTGCTGATAGTATGGAATTAAAACAAAAGCACTTTGAAATATTCTGATGCATAGAAAATGGGTCGATATGAAGAAACCCTTAAAGTTCTGATTTGGAGAAAAATATGAATCTACTTATGTTGAAAAACCTCATCAAAGCCAAGGAGGCAACTTATATGAAGAGATATGTGCACTGAAACGGCCTATACAAGATTAGGACTTCAGTTAATAGAGGTGAAACTAAACTTAGATCTCAATTTTAAGCTTTCCCGAACTTCCAGAAAAACTGCATCCTAACTAGATCTAGATAGAGMTTTCACAGCTTTCTCAAGCAGAACTGTTTAAAATCAACCATTCTAGGACACTATGTTTTCAGTTAAAACCACCTAGCTCTGTAGCTCAAGTTTAAGCTCCGGTAAATGCAAAATAAGCAAAGTCAAGTCTTTGCCTCTGATTTCTTACATTTGGTCAATAAGAAAGCCACATTTCTGAAAAGAGAAAGCACTGTAAAATGAACATGTTCATTAATAAATTCCTCAGTTTGTTTACAGGACATTATCTAACATATGACAAGAAATACTTTAGAATGATATTGCAGCTATTCCTACCTATTTTCTTATGAATATACACATTAATCTACATATTTCACACATACATTATGTGTACATGTCACATATATGTATATGTGTAAAATATATGCTTTTCTTATTTAGTTTATAAACAAATTACAAGAGACAAACATGCAACATTCTTGCTACCCCCACAACAAAGAATTGACACTTTAGGCACAGTTTAGGTGCTTTAGTTTTTTCTGACAATATCCCCACACAGTAGAGGCTTAAAATTACATTTTTTCTTACCTTTGGTTGGAGATTTGGATGAAGTAGCACATACCCATTAGGATCAATTGCAAAATAGTATCCATTTGGGCAAAGCTGGAAGGAAGATGGATTATTTAGGATTATAGGCTATATATATATTTATATGCTATATATATAGCAATAAAGAAAGGTTATACAATTGTTTTCCAACAAGGGTAAGAATATGAAAATAAACTGTCCTAGACATTGTGAAATATGTTAGGTCCTAATTTAGAATATGTATTTGTGAAGGTTTACTTATTTATAATTATAGGAGGTCATGCGGTCCCACCCTAGGCTGAAAGCAGAGCTTAATGTCAAAAACAGAGTTTAAGCAGGGTTGTAGAAGGCCCACTTTCAATATCTCCAAGGATGGCGACTCCATGACCTCCCTGGACAATCTGCCCCAGCGTTTTAGTGATTTGTATTTTCCCAATGATTTCATTTTTATTTCCAGTTGGATTTTCCTTTGATACAACTACGTCGATTGCCTCTTCTCTTTTGCTGCAAACCTCCAAGAGGCCTCTATCTTCTCCAGAACYTCTTACTGAGTAGATGAGGAATGTAAAATTACATTCCTGCTTTTCTTTTCTTCTTCAGTCTGAATAAACCCACTTCAGCCTCTCTTACGTTGTCATTTACGTGACCTTCAGTAGCTCTGGACCCCAGTTATGTCCAGCATGCTAACATATTTCTTGAACTGAGGAGATCAAAACTGGACTCAGTATCTCTGATGCTGTCTCACAGGTGCACCGCACACCTTTAAACTTCTTTACTGTAAGCACATATTGCTGACCTAAGTTCAACATGTCTTCCACCAGGATACCCAGGTCCTCTACTGCTATTTCCCTGCCTATATGCAGCATGGAATGATGCTGTCCTAGGTGCCTGACTTTGCATTGATCTCTGGTGAAATTCATACTGCTCATTTGTTTCCTCAGCTCTTACATTCCAGAGCCACGGATATTTCCTTAGAAGTTCCCTAGCTGGATGTCTGAAAATATAAAGCAATCTCAATGTTTATTTAAAACATGGTAGACATGTTCATTTAAGAACCTTTCTATAAGAAAGTATCTTATACAAATGCTAAATAATATTAGCTACCATGATTTTGTACTGTACACTGTGATATTACTTGACAGTGCAGCAGTGCCACAGGCTACAGAGCAATAGATAGGGTGGTATTGAAGTGTGTGGCCCTCAGGGCTGCTGGAATATACCCTCGTGTAAAAGCTGACTTTTACAGAAACATCCAGATGGACAATTGCCACAACAGCACAAATATCRCCAGAGGGAAAACTACCTAAAAATCAACAACAGAAAAGAATATATGAAAAGAAGCCTGGAGCTGGCTGGCTTCCAGTGAGTACTGTACTGTACAGAAACAGGACGCAAAGAAATCATACACAACGAGGACCCACCAGAAAAAGCCACTCACCGTAAATCGCGGGGTCAGTTTTTTAATATCCTCCAGAGAGACGTCAACCCCCATTACTCCAAGAATCAGCTGATTCTGGACAAGATTCCAAAATGTTAGAACATGTTTGGCCTATTTAAAATGCAGAGTAGCTGCAAGAGTCAGGTAATCTTAATTTTGCCTTCWTCACTTGGGTGTCAGATACTAGTTTAAAAGCTGTACATTTACCTATCTTTCTTTTCTGAATAATTTTAATAATATCCAAAGAGATTCGACATATTATTCAATATATTCAGGATTTGGGACAGAATATGCAAATTTCTTATCAAAGTATCGTAACTGATACTCTCATTACAGTCTCTCTTGAATAAAAGAAAGAGATAATGCAGATGCTTGAATTTTAAGGTTTTTATTTTATCAAAACCTATAAGCCGAATTATTTTCAGATGGGAATATTCTGGAATGCTAGCAGCAAAGAGCATTGGACACTAATTATATGAGGCTCTATCAAAGGAGGAAATGGGCTGCAGTGCTAATAATCTTATGCTGCTTTTCATGGCAACAACAATTACAAGAACAAAACTGGTGAAATATAAGCAATGCATTAATTTTTTTAATGTTATATGAAAAACTGGAATATGTGTTGGAAAATGCACCATGTAGTGTGCACCATAAAATTCAGGTAGAAATATAGCAGACAGCAAATTCAGTGAATTACAGGAATTATCTTATAGATAAGGTCATGAAAACTTTTTTTTTAATATGAAAGCAAATAAAATAAATGGTACTGATCAAACTCATATTTACTTATTCTGAGGCTATGTAATCTCTGAAAAATGCAATCAAAGATTATCTTGGCTAAACTTTTGCATTCTTTGCTTCTTTAAGGGGTAACTGTAACATGAAAACACATTTATATCAGGTTTTGGTCAATCAGTCTAATAGACATAATASATGACCTGAATGAACATGAATATCATGTCAGCTGCATATTGTTACACACTATGAAATGTGTTCTACGTCTAATTTTAAAAGAGTAGGATCTTGATTTTGCAAAAACATGTTTTGATTTAATATCGGACAGTAATAGGAATGGTGAATTGTGTTCAATACAATTTAATACCGTTGTATTTATTAAATAATTACTTTGATACTGTATACAGAATGATATTTTCTATAATCATTATTACAATTCAGTTGAATTTGAAGTTCCAAATCATTGCCTTTTAGCATTGATTCAATCTCTTCAAAGATTGAGTTTAAAAAGAATACAGTATTTGGGCTTCCTCTCTAGGAAAAACCTGGGTAATATTATCATTTGTTTCCCATCTCCTGAGTGCTTAAGGCAGTCCTGCTGCCACCAGGACACACAGGCAGGTCAGGGGACACCGTGGCCTGGAAGTCACAATCTCCAGGCCAGGGTGAGCTGCATTTCCTCATTTCCARGCAGTTATCAGACAACTAGCGATAACCTGTTTGTTGCTGTTGCATAAAACAACACGTAGAATCTTTCTAAGGAATTACACACTTCTCAAGAACTACAGATTTAACTCTAATTCAAATAAGTGATTTTTTGTTTTTAAAGTGACAGCTTACTATTTTCCCATTTTGTTCTTTTGTTAGATTGAAGACAGGCAGAGTTCCAGTAATCACAAGGCCCAGCTCCTAAGAAGCAGTCACACACACAGGGGAAAAAATAATTTTAGTTTTACAACAAATATTRAACTGTAAGATATTAAAACTATCCATAAGTTACTAGCAAAACACTAGACTGCAATCTTGATTTTCAGTTTATAAAAAGGAAAAGCAGTAATACCAACTATGTGTATAAAGTTGAATWCTTTTTTGGGGTATAAATGCAAAAAAAAAAGTAATAAATTTCGTTTAAAAAATAGATGGTGAGCAGCAGTTGAGGATGTAATAAGTCCTCAATACTGTACTACAAGTCCTCTTCACTGTACTACAAAATTCAGTTAGAAGAAATAAAGAAAAAAGAAAAAAGCCAAAGCAAACTTGATAGTATATAGGAAAGTAACACATACAGGAAGAAGTCAAATAGAAAAAATATCAATCAAAATATCATCACTACTTTACAATGTCTTCTTATAAAGTCCAGAATCAGTTCTGCAAAATTATATAGACTCTTCTGCTAGGCAGTGAAGAAACTGCACTTACTTGGAAGCAYATAAAAAATTTGATTTACTTTTATTAACAGTGGCAGTATGTACTGATAATCTCATCCTGGAAAAAATATATGCTTAGATAGTCAGAAATGGTTTGATTTCCAGCCTAAATTGTCCATAGACAATTCTACCTTTTTAGTGTTAGGATTTTTAATTCCAAAAATGCATTTTTAATTGATGCTTATTCCTCCTATGTATTTTTGGTGAGGATTCACATCACTTCTCTGCCTTTGCTTCACCAGAATAATATCAACTAAAATATTTTATTAATCCCTTTAACAAAATAAATTCTCTGTATTCCCACCCCTATAGCACCCGTTCCAACCTTCATCCATCTTTCATGAGCTTAAGTTTGTATATCAAATGAAAGGTAAGGAGATTTGTTAGCAAAGTTACAGTGAACGAGGTGAGGCAAGAAGTGCATTTTTAGGGGAAAAAGAAAAGGAAGAAATAGAGATAATCTGAAGAAAGGAAATGGAAGACTATTTGAGAGAACAAGCATTACAGAGGAACATAATGACATGGAGTGGGGGGGTATAAGACTCAGGGAAAAGAGAAACTTCCCCAAAAATCTATAGCTAGAAAAGACAGCTTGAAAGCAATAGTAATGATAAATTAAGAATAGCTAGAAAAAAATACAAGCATCTGAAAATTCTGGGATTGTCTCACAGAAACTAGTCCCAGAGCAATACTGTTAATGAACTTGAAGACAAAGGGTGAGAAAAGAGTTGTGAATTGCCAAAAATATATCAAATTATCGGAGACTGTTTTGAAAGACAGCCTCAAATGAGTATTGCTCTTCAGGATTTCATAACCTGCACTTGAACCTTAAATCGGGTTTCGTGAAAAGTGAGTGTGTCCGGTAGGCTGAACTGGAATGTGGCCTCGTGAAACACGTTTTGCATCTGACCCAGTGGGA